TCATGACATAGATTTTGTGAGAACCTCTTAAACTTGCTGTAAAGTCATCCAAAGCCTAGTTTCACAAGTTAAAAAGGTAGAGCAAAATCCATCAACATTAAAGTTAAAACAATTAACAGATAATTACTAAATGCTACCCAAAGACTCACCACCATATTATAGAAGAAAACTGGAGAAAACTATATAAAAACAATATATATATATATATATATATATATATATATATATATATATATATATATATATATATATATATATATATATACATATATATATATATGTATATATATATATATATATATATATATATGTATATATATATATATATATATATATCTGTGTGTGTGTGTGTGTGTGTGTGTGTGTGTGTGTGTGTAGAAACACACACACACACTATATATATATATATATATATATATATATATATATATATATATATATATATATATATATATATATATATATATATATATATATATATATATATATATATATATATATATATATAGATATATATACATATATATATATGATATATATATATATATATATATATATATATATATATATATATATATATATATATATATATATATATATATATATATATATATATATATATATATATATATATATAATAAAATAAATAGAATAAAATAAAAAAGAAATAAAAATAACTAAAAAAAAAAATTGAAACTAAGTAAACAACCAAATATAAACAAAAGTTATTCATTTTCATGTTTGATTTTTTAAACTCTTATTCACTACTAACTACGATGTAAGTAACCACTTTTTCAGTTAAAAATTACATAAAACAGAGAGTAAAGTTGAAGAGCGAGAAATCGGTTTAATAAAGACTGTGCAAGGAAAAAAAACCAGACGAATAAAAGTTTTTAGAGCATAAAGGAGTACAGTAAAATTATTTGTTTACTGATAAAGATACTGATGCTGCCATAACACTATTTCTATATTTGAATTAAGCGACTTTGCTGAATGAAAAGTCATGCATAATTAAAAAAAAGATTTGGTTTACGGAACAACAGTATAAACAAATATATAAGTGCAACTTATATATTTGTTCAGTTTACTTACTAATTACTATATATATACTTATATATTTGTTCAGTTTACTTACTAATCACTACTTCATGATTAATCATGAAGTAGTGATTAGTAAGTAAAATGCTTCTTTCAAAGCAATTTCTAATTTCACACAAATTAGAAGTTGCTTTGAAAGAAGCGTTGAAACTTGCTGTGAAACTTGAAAAAGATGCACACAATCAGTTAGTGTCAAAATTTATACTGTTAAAAAAAGCCACTTTTATAAAGTTGGAAATGCAAAAAGTTGGACAACACCTATTACTTACTTGGTGTTTGTCACAATATATACTGTTAAAAAAAGCCAATTTAAAGTGGAGACTTTTTAAACGCTACTCAGATTTTACTGAAATCAAACCATTTTGATACAAACGCTCAAATAGAAAAAGATGGGTTAGTCATCAGGTAATGGCTATTGCAAAACCTTCCTGTTTTATTGATGTTTGCTAACAAACAAGTTGAAAATTCATACAATGCAATTAAAAAGAAGGATAAATCAAGAAATGAAGGCTTTCGAAAGGATGCATCAGATATGAAAATACTATTTTGTCAAACCTTACGCCATTTTTTCAACTAATTCACAAATTTTTTGAACACATTTTAGGCATGTCTCAATAGGTTTAACTGCTTCCGGTACTAGCAAAGACATTTGCAAAGACATTTCACAATGAAAAGAGATAACGGAACAGTATAAATCAAGATATCCCGTCGTAAGGTTTGACAAAATAGTATTTTTATATCTGATGCATTCTTTCGAAAGCCTTCATTTCTTGATTTATCCTTCTTTATAATTGCATTGTATGAACTTTCTACTTGTTTGTTAGCAAACTTCAATAAATCAGAAAGGTTTTGCAATAGCTATTACCTGATGACTAACCCATCTTGTTCCATTTGAGCGTCTGTATCAAAATGGTTTGATTTCAGTAAAATCTGTGTAGCGTTTAAAAAGTCTCCACTTTAAATTGGCTTTTTTTAACAGTATATATTGTGACAAACACCAAGTAAGTAATATGTGTTGTCTAAATTTTTGCATTTCCAACTTTATAAATCTTTTATTAACAGCGGCTCCACCTGCACCGATGTCAATTAAACTGTGATTTTTCTAAAAAGAAAACTGACTACTTTAAAATGCTTTTTAAATTACATTGTGAAGGCCTTTACCATCTGTATCAACCCTAACCCTGACGGTACAAGATATCGATGCTAGTAAAGTCTATATAACAAAAAGGTTGATAAGCAAATGGAATTTATAGAATATAAAGTCTATAGAAAAAAAAAATTGATAAGCAAAATCTTAAAACATTTAAAATGTTTAATACAATAACTTTAATCAGAAAATACAATTATTCTAAAAAAAAGCTACCTTTTTCTTTGTGGTTATACTTTCAAAAATAATATTTCTTTCTTGTTTACATAAACGCAGTTATTTCGTATATATCTGGTTTCCCTATCAAACTGATAAAATGGAAATCAAACTGATAAAATGTTTAATGGGAAAAAAAAAAAAAAAAAAAAAAGCATAAGTATTTGGGCTGATTATTAAATATCATCAAAAATATGAACGAAAAAGACAATTTAACTTTTGTTATCTTTTATACTAATGGTTTGAAACCATTTTAATAAAAGCTAATGAAAGTGTTAAAGATTTAATTTATTTTTAAGTGATTTAGTTTAAACCTTTAAATTGTTTTCAAAAAAGGTATTTGAAATCTAGTATATCGAATTCCATGTTCAGTAAATGGTTATTGTTTCGCAGTGGAAGCTATTAAAGTTCCACCACTTATATGGAACCATCAGGCCGTAATAGTCTTAAGAGAAGTAAGAAATATTTTATATAAGTGCAAGGAAGTGCAAGATAATTTATAATATTTGGACAGATGTCCAGAATTAAGAGTTGAACAAGGTAATATATATATATATATATATATATATATATATATATATATTACCTTGTTCAATTTTTCTTTTGTTTACATACTTTTTTAAACATGTGTTTTTCAAACATATTTAACAACTTTATGCATTTGGTGACAATAAGGGTTGAAAATTTTCCGAAACTTTCTGGAAAATTCCGGTTCTGAAAAACTTTTTATTCTTATAAACAAGCAAAATATGCACTCTTTTAGTCAAAATTTTATAGTCAATTTAAGAATTGCGCATTTTTTAAAACAAGGAATAAAACGCTCAAGTTAATAAAAATTACTTTTACTTACATTACTATAATAAAACATTGAAACATTACTATTGTAAAACAACAAAAAGTAGATGTTTTTAGATTAAGCTTGTTTTTTGACCTCGTTTGTAACATATTTCTAGCTTTTACTTCTCTCAACTACGATTTAAATTATTTGTTTTATAAAATTTTATTTAGCTGCCCCAAAAAGTCCTTACGATCACATCACAGATTACCGCGGATGAGCAATTAAGTGAAAGTTCACGTCTTCTTTTTAAACAATGTCGCAAAACTTGCCCTGAGGTGGTCGGGTTTGAACCACGGATCCTTTGTTTCTTAGGCAAGTGCGCTACCATTGCGCCGCGGCTGCTAATATATTTAAAATATAAAAAAAAATAATATCTTTTCTAGATTAATATGTTTTATTGTCTATTGTTTTTATAGAGTGTTTTAAAGAAACAAAGATTTTTTATGTGTAAAGATTGCACATTAAGACGAGTTAAGGAGGAGAGTGTGTGCGGATAGGGGTGTTCTTCCTCCCCAATCCCCTAAAGAAGGTTTTTTTCAAGTTATAGTCGGCTAGCCGGTTGTTCGACACTATCCAGTCGGGTGAATTTTAGTTTTAAATGATCTTTTTTATATTATAAAGAAACCAGTTAGTACTTTTTCCCCACCCCCTTATTTATTAATTTATTGATTATCAATTTTGATTAGTCAATTGTGCTATTGCAAGATTGCTGCGAGTGAAACTCAAGCCTTAAACGCATTTATGTAAACATAGCAATGGTATTTATGACCTCTATTGTTGTAACTATTTAACTATAATTGTAAATACTTTTTTAATTTACTTTTTTAATTTTAATTTTTAAACTTAACATGAAAATTCTCTTTACTTTTTGCTTTTAAATGAAGAAAAAATTGAAAATACTGTAAATATTCAATCAAATGTTTTTATATACAATATGACGGTTTTCAATAGTTAATAGGCTTATTAAATAGATTTTGAAAAATACTCAATCCTTATTAGGGGTCGGGGTGCACATTATACCAGCGGGCATTTTGATGTCTTAAGGACGTCCGTAAGACGTCTCAAGTCATGTCTGTAAGACGTTCTTAGTTGGTCTCAAATGAAAGACTTGAGGACGTCTATTCCTCAAGACATTTTTTCAAGGCGTTCTAGAGACGTTTTTTGAAGACGTTCTAGAGACGTCCTGGCTGGTCTCATATGAAAGACTTAAGGACGTCTTATTCAGACGTCCTAGAGACATCTGAATTTTACCAATACATTCTTTTGAAAGTTATATAAAAATGCAATGATTTACAACACACACACTTTAGATTTGCCTTAATCTAGGCAAGGGAAATTGTAAAAAGAAATTAATGTAAATAAAGTGTAATTTAATATATTTAAAATAGATTAATAACTTTAGAAAAAATAAGAAAAACAAAGTTACATTTTCGAAATTAAAAACTAATTAGGTACTGTAGAATATAATTGATAGTGCATTATAAATAGAAGAAAATTGCTGAAAAATGGAAGAAAAAAAAAATACAAAAGTTTATTAAGTCATCATTGATCTATATCCATATTAGTGGATGTTCTCTTTAATCGGTCACAAGAATGCCTAATTATTCTCCTAATAAGTTAGATTGCATTCATTTTGGTTAAGTTTTTATTAGACTTTAAAGCAGCTTCTAATAAAAACAACAAGACATATTTCAATAAGAT